CTGCGAAACAATCCTTTACGAAGAAGTCAAGTTCATCATCCATTGCCATGATTTCCCAACGAAGTTCAAGAATATCGCCGAGTTTGGCCTGTGTAGGAAAGAGACTCTAGAAGACGCCTCCTATGAATATAAGGATTTTGCACTACCTGAACAACTGGTTGTTCTCCTTCACCACTGACCAGCTGCATGAACACAGGGTTGCCGAGCTCGATCTTGCCCCTTGGTTGGATAAGGTTGGCCTCAGGTCCTCTAAAAGTGAAACTGTTAAAACAGCATAAGCGAGCGCAAACCTTGGCTTTAAAGGAGAATCAAAAGAAAAAAAGATTGTAGCAGAGTGTTCGGGGAATTTCTATGGGAGCCGTCAACGAGATGTTTGGATTTTCATTTCTTAACGTCAATAGCCTCAACTCTCATTTTTGAATTACAAAATCGCGTGAAGAAAAAGTGCTTACACGACGGTCATATTGTAGCCAGCTTGGACTTTGCCACCCAACATGCTCGAATAGTCGCAAGAAACCTCATATAGTTGATCCATTGAGGTGACAAGACCTGGGATGCCAAGATTGTTCGTTTGGATGACGACGGTTGTCTTGTAGGTGCCATTTAGCTACAATACTTCAATAGTTGAGTACAAACTAGAAGATTGCAAATGTCTCACCATATCTACTAAACCGCAGTCACGACTCTCAGCTTGACGCTTATGACGGAAATCTTGCTCATCCTTCACCAACTCAGCCTTTTCACCGGACTTTCCTTCAGAACTTGGGGTGCTCTAGATCAGATGGAGATAACACATGAAAAGGTTTAAGGATGAATTTCAGGCGAATTTAAGGCGAAACTTACATCTTCCACACCATCAAGGGAGATAGGGCGCATTCCAAAGTCTTTGGGCAGTCCAAGCACAAGTGTGGCAGAGTTGGAGTTGGCGACCCGAAATGGAATAAATAATAATAACTAACTGTTGCGGCCTTTTTCTTCCAAGAAATAGGATCGCAAAATTTTAAGAATACACAAAACCAAATAAGATAGTGAAATGACAGAATTTCAAATTTTTATTCATAATTATTGTTCAAATTGAAAAAAAAAATTTGAAGAAGGAAATTTTACGCAACTCCGAACAAGAAAGGATGAAGTCTACATCAGTCTCGCCTCAAGCCACTCCTCTTTCTACCAATATCCTCCCGTACCCTCTAGCGCTATTGGCTCATCCAATCATAGTTCTACAACTTTGGAACAAAAGTTTTGCAATTGAATCTAGTACATGTAGCCTATTCAGAAAAAAATTGCGCAACGTTGTTGTGGCGGCGCGGTTGCGTCCCTCAGTTTTGGTACATTATCAATATGTTATTGTAAAGAGACGTAAAGATTGTTTAGCTTGAAGTTGGGCAACCGCGCGCGAGAGATCCGCTTCACGTTTGCGACAGCGGAAGTTCGGCATTCTGCCAGCTCTCGGTAAAATTGTAAGGGAAAAGGGCAGATCAAGGAGTAAGGCGCACAATTATGTAAACCCAATCACTTCGGGTCAGTATGTGACAAAATGCGAAATACTTGTTAAGGGTACGGCACCTCTCGCACTGTGGTTGCGTAAAACACGTTCCCCAGGGGAAAAATTCCGAAAACAGCCTGCATCATTCAGTTAATTCAACTCTAAATGCCACCTACTTAGAATAGCAACTAACTGAATGAATAATAAACCAAGGAGTTTCGAGTATAAAGTAATAGAGTAATAAAAATTCTGGCATTTCTTGCTTGAAATTAGCAAATTCAGCAGTAAAATTCTTGAGCAATTTCTTACCTCAACCCGGCAAGTATCGTACTTGTTCTTGACGAAAATGACACCGCTGAAGGGTACTCCATTACCGACTTGTACCTGAACAAACAGAGATTTCTCATATTAATATTATTATGTTAATATTCCAAAAATGATAGTTGAGCGAATTTTCTCGTGTAAATATGATTTCATGTGGATTACCCGCCAACATAGACTAATCACAAAGCCTAGCTGCCACCCATTCTGCGCCTTTTGACCAATAGGAAAAATGTGCAGTTTTGAGTGTTATGTGGTGTGCAGTACACCATGTATGCAATAAAAATCTGCTTGATATAGGTTTGTTCAGAACTTTATGCTTTTCCCCACTTACTGCTTACCTTGATTCCTTCATAGTTGCAGATGGTTTTAATAGCGTCAGCGGGGATAGAGACTGGAGGGCCGATAGCCATCGTGGCCTCTGGCTTACGTCGATGCTCATGTTCACGAATGGATGGCTTGACAACCTATAAATACAAAGTAGTACGTTTTGGGATAAGGAATGTAGAAGCTCGAAAAATTACCTTCTTAGCTGCAAGGAGCTCGCCTCGGGCATCCTTCTTGTTAGTGACAGTGCCAGACATACGGTGCGTTTGGGGTGGAACATTAGCAGCTGCTGACACTCCGCTGTCGGTTTCCTGAAAATTGCTGTGCACCTCTACTTTAACAATCAAGTCTCTCTTTAGAAAAATAGTGAGGATATAGTGTATGCGCGCATAACTGACACATGAGCGCGCAACCGAGCTGCATGCGCGTTTCAGTTCTGCGCACTTTCCAATGAATAATATGAATTGATTATTTGCCGCGTGCGTGGAAATAGTGATCCCAGGCCGCAGTCCTTGTACATAAACTGTAAACAGGGTAAAGAACACTAACGATTGTAAATCTTTCGCTAAGCCAGTGACTGCTGTGACTACTAGCGATAAAACGAAGAGTTTTCTACTAAGCAAACATGAACATTCGCCGCATAAAAGGTTGCGTGGACCTTCTTTTGAAAGCTGTCCTTCTATTCATTAATGCGCGCCCTAATGCAATTCTCCGCTCGATGGCAAATAGCGGCGACAAGCCGCGTTGGACGGCGCAGATCGATGCGTATTTGGCCTGTGGGCGGCACCGGTGTAGTATAGTCGAGCTTTTACTCGTTGCTTTTTAGATTATTAGCTATTAACTTGGCATTTGTAAATTAGCGCTTTTTGAACCATTCTCTAGTTTTTCTCTCCAATGGCTTTAGCTTTCATGCTATAATTTTCGCTATTCCGTTATAAAGTCGGGCATACCTTGATAACACAGAGGTTTTTGTAGAAGTCGACGTGTTCGTTGACATCAGCATCGCCATCAATTGCATCGAACATATCGCATTGACCGATGTGGCGGTTGTAGTTGACACCAGCACATCTAAAGGTAAAAAATGACAAATGATGCTAGTTGGAGCAGGTAAGACGATGCCAGTGTTCATTACAATGGTGTTGTGCCCTTTCCTGTTTTCTGAGTATTTGTCTCTACTAATGCAATGCACATCTCACGCAAAAACGATAACACACTATTTAGATATTAAGAAATGATTAATTAAGCAACAATTGCGTTTTGCTACAAACTTCTTGTCCTTTCTTAGCCTGTTCTGTGCCGAATTTCTATTTCTATTGCCTATTTCTTCATTTCAAA